CGGCTGTTAGCGTGGCCTCTGATCATGCTGCTGACAGATGATAAGCAAGAAAAGTGGCTCACGGGTGTGATGTGGTGTTGGAAAGTCCTACAGGATGCAGCTTTTGTATTTGTAATATATCTTCTGAAATCAGCTATAAATGCTCCTGGGAAATGAATTCAATTTCACTTAAAGTATAAGAGCAAATCCTCAAAGGAAGATGCAGGGAGATGAGGGTTTGCATTGCACATGATGGCTCCCAGGACATGCTTTCAAACATAAAAATCGTAGATCCCGCATCTCACACCCCAGCCTTGCAGACTAGCCCAGATTTGGCTAATCTTGAGCTTAATTTAAAGGAAGAATTCGATTGTCTAACTGGGTGGTGTTGTTAGTTGCCGTAAGTCAATTCCGACTCATGGCAACCCCTTAGGTGCACAAAGGGTTTTCAAGGCTGTGACCTTTCAGAAGCAGATCTCCAGGCCTGTCTTCCAAGGCTCTTCTAGGTGGGTTTGAATCACCAGATTTTCAGCTAGTAGTCAAGGGCTTAACCGCTTGTACCTCCCAGGGAGCCTAATTGTCTAACTTAGCTCTGATATTTATCTCCCTCCACTCCCACCACAGACACATCAATTTTCCTTGTGTATAGCATAAATACAGGAACTCAGGGGGAAAAAACCAGCTTGATTTTAAGTAGCTTTTTCATTATAATGTCATGCTCAGTATATTATCATTAAAGAAAACGTTCCTGCTTGTTTTGAGGATTAATGTCTAGGAATATATTTATTGTATATCATTGTATAGCTTCACTAAATGCTAGCTAAGTTTATTAATATTTTAATTACTATTTGTTTTCTTTTATATTCCCAATACTATGCTGAGCACTTTATGTGATAATAAAACACCTAATGTTTATTGACCAGCCACTGTTCAAATTCTTGCATATGAATTCAATCCGTTAGAGCTCATAATGACCTAATGAAGTATTATTTTTATGACCATTTTATAGATTAGAAAACTGAAGCATAGAGTGTTCAAATACTTGCCCAATGTCACACAGCTTACATATGGCAGAAAAAGTTTTGAAC